TGTTGTTTGTTGGTGACGTGGTTGGTCTTTGCAAGCTGCCCTCCAATTATCACATAATTATCAATCACATGGATGGAGACATGCAATCGTAATAATGTGGGACACATGAACCACAACATCTAGCTACGTGTGCAGACAGACAAACACATGCAGATGGGAAAAAATCCCAGAATACTCTAATTATTAAAAAAATTTCTCCGAATACAATACTTATAAACTTATTTCCCAAAATACAGCAGTTTCAACATCACTGTCTTTGTCTTCGACAGTGATATTGATCACCGCTTTAGTCCAAAACGGGGAAGGTATCCCCGCTTTTGACCACAACGGGGAACACATTACCGCCTTGGAGAACAACAGGGAAGTAATCACCGATGCAGTCTAAAACGGTGATCGCCTCACCGCTTTTCTGAGCTAAAAGTGATTACATCATCACCGTCGGTCAAAACGGCGATAATTGATCGCCTCGCCGCTTTTATGAGAAACGGTGATAACATCATCGCCGTCGACCAAAATGGTGATAATTGACCACGTTTTAGAGCCCTGTTAGGTGGAAAATTAGGTCACAGCGACCTAGCTATCACCGCTTTGGACAAAAGCGGTGATGTGTTCACCGCCATTGTCCACAGCGGTGATTAGCTGCCATTTTTTTCTATAAAATCCGACGTCCACTTCCCTCCTGCTGCCTTACAGCAAATTAGTACAAAAATTAGTGTTTTTTAGTCGTTTTCTCAGCTGGTTTGGAGTTGGTTTACTGCTCAAGAAACTCGTCGAGATTCGGTATGTTAGAATTATGTATTGTTTACATTTTGATGTGTAATGTATTTAGTGAATTGCGGTTATTGAAAAATATGTTATGATATATTTAGATTAATTATGATATGATAGATGTTAGTTAGTTAGTACTGGATTTAGATGAATTTGTTTAGTTTTCTCATGATAGATCGGGATTCAGTATGTTATAAGTATGTATTTTTTACATGTTGATTTGTTAGTAATTATATGTCTGTATTTAGTGAATTGCGGTTATTGGAAAATATGTTATGATATATTTAGATTAATTATGATGTGATAGATGTTAGTTAGTTATGAATTTAGATGAATTTGCTTAGTTTTCTCATGATAGATCAATTACATGCGTTTGTTTATGGGTTTGGATGATATTGTTTTTGTATCCCTAATGTACTAATTATATACTATACTTAATTATTATAAATTGCAGACATGGGTAAATTTAATAAGTTTCGGCTTATTATTTGGTGGAATGGTCGGGTGACAAACTCGAACATTGGGATCGACTATGAAAATGGCGAATCCACTATGCTAAAAATTGAGTCGAGATTCTCGTGGCAAGAACTCCATGACATTTGTGCATAAAGGACTTGTACGGGCGGGCAAAGGAGAGTTGGTCAAATTGCTTACCGCTATCCCAACATGAGTGCCGACGGAATCATGTACGAAAAAGTTGTCATAAATGATGATGACGCGGTGAACATGATGAACCCCAAACGTTGTTGAATCAATGCCCCTGACCTTCGACGGGCGTGGTGGTCGGCATGTTGAACCCCAAACGTTGTTGAATCAATGGCCCCCAACCATCTTCTGGTTTTCTCGAGTTGTCGATGATGGCATCTCCGGTGATCGGGAGCCCGGTGAGGATGGCAACATCTTTGAGGGTGATCGTCATTTCACCCTCGGGAAAGTGGAAGGTATGCAGCTCGGGGCGTCATCGCTCTGCCATTGCCGTCAGCAGATCGTTGTCAATATCAAGCCTCATAAAGTGCCTCAGCATGTGCAATCCCGTCCTCTCTAGATAGGGCTGCAGTCGAGCATGCCAACGGGGCAATCGTCATGTCCCTCGATGACTGATGGGAATAAGTGATTCCTACAAAACAAAAAACACAATATTGTCAGTCAATAGAAAGCAAAATAAAAACTTTAAAACTATAGAAATAATTTTAGTGTGTCTATCGGATTATTGTTCCAAATTGAACGGGAGCGATGTTGATCTTGCCTGGTTAAATACCTTCGATCCCTTGGGCCAGGATCGATATACAATCTAGGGTCGTATATCTCAGCACCCATCTATAAAAAAATATGAAATCAATTTAAATTTTAGCACCCATGTAAAAAAAATCACAAAAGAATAAAATAAATTTACGTACTCTCAAAGCCTCTTCGTCCATTTTTTGCCGAAAAGCTAGCGAGAGTATCGACAAAACAAAAACTCTAGTAATTCTTTCTGATGCGGAAGATCGGACTTAGCCGCAACCACAGAGCATACTTAGAACGAAACTAGAGTGAAGTAATGGAGGGAGAAAGAAGTATAAAATGGTGGTGTGGTTTGGAATGAGGGGGGGGGGGGGGGGGGGGGGGGGGAGTGGTATTTATAGGGGGAAGGGGGAGCTGGAAATTTCACTCAGCCAATCACCGCCTTCGTCGAAAGCAGTGAATTCACCGACATTGACGAAGGCAGTGATGCGCGGATCGCTGACGTGACGACGCGTGAGGCGTCGGATCGTGGAGAAAAACCACAATCCGCGCCTCACCGCATCGAACGGCAGCGGTGAAGGGCGCGGACGACGCGGATTGATGACGTGGCGGGGTGGGGCTATCACCGCTTTTCCCCATCAACGGTGATAGTTGCTTCACTGTTTCTCATATCAAAGGTCAGACAATCACCGCTTTTAACAAGAGCGGGGATTGCATCACCGTTTTTGTCCAAAACGGTGATGCATCACTGTTGTTGTTAAAAGCGGTGATGCTCTCACCGTTTTAAACAAAAGCGGTGATTGCAATCACTGTCTTGGTCTACAACAGTGATGTTGAAACTGCTGTATTTTGGGAAATAAGTTTATAAGTATTGTATTTGGGGAATTTTTTTTAATAATTAGAGTATTCTGGGATTTTTTCCTGCAGATGGCAGCATCATCCATTCCTGCCTGCTGGACCCTTCCTCAGAACATTCGGCACGACCTATATAAACACATCATAAGCCGCACCGGAAAAATCATCGTTAAATCGAGGGCCGGATTCAGGAATGCTTATTACTTCATTATTAGTTTAGTACCTCACCCACCTTGTACCTCATAAGAAAGGTTAATCTTGATCTTTAGCAGTTAGAAGAATGAACTCAACCACACATTTCACATCCCAAAACTAGCATCAAAACTTGGGATTCTTCACACGATGCATCTAGCAGGAACACGTCCCAATCCAATCCAATATGAGGTAGTTGGCTTGGCTTCATTGTTTGCTTGTATAAGCATTATTAGTGGTTTAGGCCTTAGGGGTTAAGATCTAACCTACTACTCATTAATTAAGCATTCAATATTATCAAAAGTCATTGACTAATGACTACGACACATCCCACAAAAGATAATCACAAAATATTATGTTTTTAACACAATAGCCTGCGCCCCAATCATGCTTGACTTTGTTGGATCATTCACAGCCACAGGATCGACGCAGACCAAATACATACAGCTGCTGCCTCACATTTGTTCCCTTTCTCTTTCAATCTCTTATCTTTCTGAGCTCAAACACAGTCAGCTGCTTCGCAGTGGCCAAAAATCAGAGTCCTTTCTCAGAAATAGCATCCTCCAACAAACAAAAAGGAAGACAGAACAAGGGCAGGGATGATAAAGATGCCACTAGTGTGCAGTGTTACTATTACAACCGGCTTTTCAATTACTACAATTGGCTTTACAGTTGATTGCTTTCCCACAAACTTGAGACCCAATACATCCAACAACTTGTCTTCATTTTGAATGGAGACAGACAGACAGACAGACAAGATTCAGATTACATATTTACAGAAGATTACAACAAAAACCAGAATGACTTCAAAAACTCCCCCTCTTCTTCTAGCCCTCCCACCAGCCACCATTGTTGACATAAACATTCTTGCCACCTTCAAACCCAATCTTTCTACCCTAACTAACAAGGCAACAGCATCCACTAAGGACTACTGTGTTTTCCCCTCTACTCAAATACGCTCTTCCCTTCCTACAAACCCAACCCTTGGTTTGCTTTCTCTACCACCAAATCTCAAAAAGTTCGAAACTTCGAACTAGTTGCACTTTAGTGGGGGGTCAATGAGTTTTGTGGGCACTTCACACTCGCTTGACGCCTCTTCAAAATCCCATTAACCACCCCCACGTAAGGATACACAACCATCTCCTCCCCCCACAAACAACAAACAAAAACCAATTCTCTTTATGCTTTCCGATATGTACCTTCCTTTACTATCTCTTGAGATGGACCCTTTGCTATCCTTTTCCACTCCTTTGCCTTTGCAAAGATACACTCTCCAGTCTTCATCTGCAGAACAGAAGGAATAACGAGCACAAATGAACATCTTATGGGTGAAGAGCAAGACAACATGACAAGCATAAGGGTCTGGTTGCAACTTGCAAGTAAATCTGCCTAAGATTATATTATCCTACACGAGCAAAAAAATGGTTATGGTAATAGCCATTTAACAATTCAGATGACAATAGCCCCGGAAAGCTGAAGGTTTCTCTTCCCCATCCTGTCACCAGCTCACAGGGAGCAGCATTGACTCGGCCCTTACAGGCTTACAGCTTCGAACTTGAAAGCTAATTTTCTCACTTCCAATAAAAAGATGCCGCCTCATAAAAGCTTGGATAATGACCTATACGACTAAGTTGGAGGCAAAGGCGAAGTCTTTGTTTCCTGGGAAAACTCTACCCCACAAGGCCACAACCCACTAATGAGGAATCTACCAGAATAATCGAGCATTCAATGGAGTGACTAGCTTATGGTCCCAAAGGAAGAGCTTTCCTTTCCAAAGTACACCCTCCCAGTATCTCCAAATCGATGACTTTTGGGAAGATATAGAGCTAGATCATATGAACTCACACTGCTACCTCAATTAGACACCAAACTGGCAAAGATTCAGTTCTATAAGTCATATGATGAGAAGGCTGCAATAAGAACTTACCAGTGGATACAAACTCTTAAATCTTTCTTCTGTTTTAATCCCGGAAAATGACCTTGTCAGCAATCTTCAACAATGGCGCCAAGCAATCCGGGGCGAATTTCCTAGCAAACAAGTACGAGCTCGAGTACTTTGATTCCCTCAAACCCTGAATCAACTCCGGGGAGATTTCGCTCTTCTTGTAAGTATAAGGATGGCCATTGACCGTCCCCGTCCAATTAACCTTCGTCAGAGTGTACTGAGTACACCCCTTGGGATCCTGCATTGACAACAAGGTCGGAAAGTAATGCTCCTCAGGGTAACACTCATCCTCTCTATAACACGGCATCCTGAATTTCTTCCACAGCCGGCGATCCTTAATCACCATCAGCGCGTGGCGTCGGGTCAACACGAAGAACTGAGATCCAACCCTAAAATCCTCAAAGGGAACCTCCGGCATCATCGCGTACCTCCCGCGAGCAACATACCTCTTCCAGAGCCGAGGCTCGTCGGAGATCACCTCAATGAAGCTCTTGTACTGGAGCCGAATCCCGTACTGAGTGGAAGCATCGGGATCCCCGGAGGAGAAATCGAAGGATCTGGACTTGAGCAGGGAGTGGTAGACGAACTTGAACGAGTGCAGCGGGATGCAATGCTGCGAAATCACGGCGAAGAAGGCGTTGGCGGGGTCGTCGAGGATGGCGGTGGCGAGCAGCCGGCGCGTGGCGGAGATCAGCGTCGGCGACGCGCGGTAGGTCCGCTTGGCGTGCTCGATGAACTTGCCTTCAAAGACTCCGCCGGGGCTGGTGACGTTGACGGTCGGATCGGCGTGGACGTAGATGTTGTAGAGCGATTTGGCCGAGGGAGGGCGGAAGAACTTCTCCCAGAGCGGCGCGAATTGCAGATCGGAGTTGGTCAGGAAGAGGAACGCGATCTTGAGCTTGGGCTTGGAAGCGGCGAGGTGGGAGAAGGAGGAAGGCAGGCGGGTGGTGGGAGTGGCGGACGCGCGGCGGAAGAGCGAGAGGTCTTCGAGCTCGTCGGAGGGGGAGATTGGGACGGAGGAGAGCCGCGGGGGGAGGATTCGCGGGGCGAGGAGGAAGAGGATCGGGAGGGAGAGGAGGAGGGAGAAGGTGAGGACGAATGGAGTTGAGAACATCGATGAGGAAGAGGACGGGACTCTGAAGGAGGAGGAATGGAGGATGCCGGCTGCCGCGGCGGCGGTTGCGGAGGACGGCGAGGAAATCGACGGGAATGCCGCCGACGAGGATTGACTGCCGTTGCTCGGCATCTCTGTGGGATGCTTCAGATTGAAGAGAGGAGGAGACGGTAATAAGGAATTGGGGAGAGGGGAATCGGGGTGTTTTAGGGTTTCGGAAATATAGGGATTGGGCAATTTGGTTAGGGTTTTCTGGTGGGAAGAGAGGAACAGAGAAAAGGAGGGAGGGAGAGAGATGGAGTAATGGCGGGTTTTGGGGACAGTAGGAAGTTGGGAGGAAGAAGGAAGAATAGAAAAAGGCTGGCATTGGACTCGCGCGTTACTGTTTACCTTCACGGCGTTAAGATAACCGGCGTCGCTCCACGGTTGAACAACGTTGACTGTGTAAGCGGCGTTAAAGTCGGGGACAAGATGGGAACATTACCCGAATTCCCCGGGGAGATTTTTCCTTTTTTTAAAAAATAAATTTATTTTGGTTTCTCGATGGTTTCCATTTTGGTTCCGAATTCGTTGAAACGGCAGCAGAGCATTGTTTTGGTTGAAACAAATTCACATTACCCGCCACGTCGTTGGTGCAAGATCGGATCTGGCCGGCCCAGCTCGCCGTTACTAAGTAACAAAATTCTGTCACCTCCAGCAACAACTTTTAAACCAAGTGATTGTTGCTGCACCGAACTCTGAACACGAAAAAATCTTTAATTTCAATGCTCGTAACGTGAGTGGCGTGAAATTGGTTGTCTCATCTTTTTTATCTTACTGTTTCCGGAGTCGTTTGGAAGTTGTGTTTGTGGAATACATGTATTGGGTACAATACAATGTTTGGAAGTGTCAAAGTGTTAAAAAATACATGCATTATTTTAGGTAGGTCTCACCAACAATCACAAAAAATGATGCATTATGCAATCTCAACTAAAAGTTGAGATTGTTCTGATTATTGTTTTATATTTGTGTCAACTTTTTCTTTCCATTTATATTCTCAATAGTTGTGTCTTATTCTAAAAATTGAGGGTAAATGTGGCATTTCCCCATAAAAGTAACTTTATGTAAATCAATACATAAAGTAGAATCTCAACAATCAAACAATGTATTGTTAAAATGCATCCATTGTATGAATATATGCATCTATACTAAATATTATGGCTATTCAAAAATAACTTCTTGCCACATAAGCACTTGGTGAATGCACAAGTTGCCAAGGTGGACAATTTTTTAACAAACAAAAAACTATTTATTGATCTATTTATGAAGTTATCTCTCTCTTCTTTTAATAATTATACTCATTTTTACTAAAATTAAAATAAGTTAATTTTTTAGGAAACGTTAAAACAAACAAACACATACATAAGTAATCATCTTTTTTTGTCAATTAAACAAACTATAAAGATAGAAACAGAGAGTGACATATCGTATTTGTTTAACCTAAGCTGATTAAATCCGATTAAGTAAAATTTTTACTCATTTTTACTAAAATTTAATAGGACTTTGCTACGGTGACATGCATGTCACGGTGACATGCACTTTTCGGTCGACCTCATATAGGATCAGGTCGACCTAATCAGTTGTTTCAGTGTACAAACAGTTTCATGGTGCCTACTTTGGAGATTCATATCTTACAATTGGCTAGATGGAAATTGGAGATTAAAGGCTTGTTTTGAAGCTGAAGTGTCCCTCTACACATTAAAGTACTTGAGAGCTCAATAGAAAGTCCAGAAGACCATTTTTGAACCTGACCAAAAGGCTATGCCAAAACTGGGAAACTGCCTGAAAATGGCTAAGTCTGTCAACGTGTTTGTCAAGCCTACTTTGGAGCTCAATTTGACAAGCATGGATGCGAGTCAAGTCCAGGGCCCTTTACCACGTTAAATTACGTATTTTTTTATACAAAGGCAAGGCATTGAATGAAAGATTGAATATCTTTAAGGCTTCAAACAAAAGGCTCGAAGTTGCTACGAAGCCTGTTTTTCTGGCAGCTTGCTTGTGCTCGAAGTCTGCCAGAAAAACAGCCTTTGTAGCAACTTCGACCCTTTTGTTTGAAGCCTTAAAAATATCCAATCTTTCATCCATATCCTTGAATTTGTATAAAAACATACCTAATTTAATGTGGTAGAGGCTCCTGGACTCGACTCGCATTCATGCTTCTCGAATTGAGCTCAAAAATAGGCTTCACAAACATGTTTCCAGACTTAGCCATTTCTAGGCAGTTTCCCAGTTTTGGCATAGCCTTTTGATGAGGTTCAAAAATGGTCTTCTGGACTTCCTATCGAGCTCTCAATCACTTCAATATGTAGAGGGACACTCCAGCTTCAAAACAAGTCATTAGTCTTCAATTTCCATCTAGCCAATTGTATGATATGAATATCCAAAGTAGGCACCATGAACTGTTTTTACACTGAAACAACATATTAGGTCGACCGGATCCTATATGAGGTCGACCGAATCCTAAATGAGGTCGACCGAATCCTATATGAGGTCGACCGAATTCTATGTGAGGTAGACCTAATCCTAACTGAGGTCGACCGGAAAGTGCAAGTCACCGTGACATGCATGTCACCGTAGGCACACCCAATTTAATAATAAGTTACATTTTGATGAAGCAAAAAAAAAACACACACACATAAATAATATTATTTTCAATTAAACAAAATATAAACGATGGTCTAAGAGAAAATAAGCGTTTGATAATCAATCGACTTTGAGAAATGATCGATATGACTATATGTTTTTTTTGCTATCAAACACTCACTTTTTTCTAATGTATATACCTATCAAATAAAACAAGTATAAATTTTATAGCAAAATGTTTGAATATAAACTTGAGAGAGCAATAATTGTTATTTTTTTAAAAACTTCTTATTTATTATGATTAAATAAAAACATATTACTTATTAATGCAAACTTTTAATTTTTTTATGTCACTTTTCCCATTTTGATTGTCTCACTAGAAATAAAATCCAACTTTGAAAATAAGAAATCAAGAAAGTATGTCAACCACCATAAAATAAACAAAACCCTCTTATTAGTTGCTAATTTGTTTGAGATTTTTAATATTTTTATTCTCATAATTATAGAGAAGGAAATGGTAATGCATATGATTTTTTTCTTCTTTGTATGAGAATATGATGCAGGAGTTACACGAGGCAGCGATTAGATGACAAAATTTTGAGCAGTTGTAACATATTTTTGCATGTTAACGAAAAAAGTTCATCTGATCATTGTGAAGATGAGGTGAACCAAGTCGAGGGTTGTCGACTGCACCCTCTTCCTACTTGATCTGAAGCTGGCAACTGGTCTCACTTTCTCAGGGATACGTTATTGTTTGCGGTTGACTGGCCGAGTTATACTCTTCTTCCAATTATTTTCTTAATTTCTTCCAAATTATAACTGCTGGATGGTAAATTTTCCCACTCTCGATGAGTGAATGTATTTCTTCTTTGTTTTTCAAGGAGAAGGGTCGTCATATACTTTTATTTAAATATATAAAATATAATTAGAAGGGTTCATTGGTTGGACTTAGGGCATACCTCATTTGATTGAATAATTGATCGTTTTTCTTGAATGCCTATTGCAACCCGATTTCTTGAATGTTGAAATAGAAAGAAGAGTTTGTGATAGTTGTTTATTATATTTTATGTTCATGATTGACATGCTACTAGCTAGCAATACAATGATGATCTGTTTAGTAATTAGTAGGTAGCAAAGAGGTTATAAGTAGAAGGGAATATAATTGGGGTTTTATAAAGGTCGCGAAGAAGAAAGAAAATGATAATGGTGGTTTCTCGGTTGTCTATTTCGATGTTTTTTTAATTTCTACATGTTTGCGGTGACATTTGTTTGTTTCATTAAGGTGAATTTTTCCGCATTGAATCCCTAACTAAAGTTTGATTTTGACATGATTGTTTTCTTACAAACTACTATTTGGATTGATGCATATATTCAGTTCACAAATGAGGAATCTGCATGATAAAATGAGTTGAGTTGTATTGAAGACTGCTCCTTTCATTATTTTTTCTATGTTGTTATTAGGTAAAATCACAATTCTTTTCTGCAGGAGATATGTAGCTCTCTACAAAATATAAATTGTAATTAAGTATATGCAGTTTAATTTGCTGAAAATATTGCTTTAATAAGTTTGTGACAGCTGATAGTTTTATTTGTGGTTGGTTTCTAACACATTTCAAAGGTAATTAAACGAGTACGTGGAAGATTGATGGACGTGGATGCTAATGAGTTTCCTCATTATTCCAAAGTTGTATGCGTAAGTGATAATACACGATATTCATGGGATTTAGATCGGAATATTATCTATTATCGTATACCGACATATGAGAAGGGATAGAAAATAAAAAGCTCTTCGCTTATTTTTTTTATTAATTGAGGAATATTTTTCTTATTCTAACTTCTTCTTTTGTGGTTGTAAATTTTTTAACTTCTTTATCACAATTGTGTGCTAAAGAATGAATAACTCTTATGTTTATAATCTTAAAGGGTGAGTTCGATAAAAAAAATTCTAAATCAATAAAGAACAATCTACAAAGAGCTCAGTTAATAAAATTAAAATGTTCATAAATAAACAAAAGGTATAATAGTATGAAACAATACCTGAAATAAGGTAAGTGGGATTTACAATTCCATATATATTACCTTAACAAACATAAATAATAATAACAATTAGAATACTATAACGAATTATAAAATAACCAAACAAAATACACCGTCCAACGGGCGGGTAAAAAACTAGTTTATATTATGGTGATTCATTACAATACAACCGATTTAACATTTGCAACTTCCAAATAACCCCTACAACGTGGAAAACAGACGGTCACATAAGAGAAGCCGATTCGGCTGAAGATGCCCTTTGGTTTGGTGGTGTTGTTTTCTGGGTTATAGATGGATATACCTCGATTTCATTTCATCATATGCTCCGCCAAAAGGGTACGACGAGGAATTCCAATTTTTAATCGCAGATCCGTACTCGCTCAAAAAATGATGGATTTCTTTCTTGGCATCCGGGTGTGCTTTTCGAGTAGTAAAATATAGAGTTGTTATTATCGCATAAAGAGAACATAGGGGGGGTTGTGCTGTCTGCTGCTGCGTTTGTTGACCCATTTTCAGAGATTGATTGAAACCTTGTCGTTTTGCAGATTTGAACCGGGAGCCGGCCCTTAGACCCAAGAAGAAGCATGGTCCATAGAACGATATCGTACCGGTGGTTCAACCACGAAAAACCATTATTAGAGGCAAATTCAATAGGCGGTATTTAACAGTACTACGGTTGAACTACTGTTAAAACACAATTTTACCATAAAATACCCTATCGCTTATTTTGTCGGTGCGCGGCTCTGGTACGATTTCATGAAGACATTTGGTTGTTGGAGTCGCTCTCTCGCTCACTGGCTCAGTGACAACGCACCTGGCTCCAGCCAGGACAGCTGTGTTCTGCCAGACTGCGACTCTGCAACTTCCGCCATCATGGTCCAGACCAGAGATCTATCGCGTTCATTCATCTACCTCATCTCTATTATCTTTACTGCATCGACGCGCTCGGCTGAAGATTCCCTTCCCCAGCCTGCAACACTCACTCAAACCAAAGTTGCCAATAATGGAGTTCCAGGACGGGGTCATAATAAAAACTAAAAAGAAGGAACGCGTTGATCTAACTAAACTAAACTAAACACCTGAAATAATCACATTCCGCACAGAAACAAAAGCATTACATATATAGATAGATAATGATAATTAACAACAAACGATGATGGATAATTACCGAAAAAGAAAACAATGATGGAGGGAGGGAAGGGAAAGGAGAGGAATACGAAAACATGTCATCACCAACCCAAAAGAAGAAAGAAAATAAAAATCTCAAACCTGCCGAAGAATTTCGTCATCATTTTTTCATTATTATTCTCCATCTCGCCACGCCAATAAAACCTGAAACTCGCCCTGAGTGGGAATGACTCTGACGGCATCTTCTCCAAGACGCCCTATATCAATTACATATATATTATGTACAGAACTTATGCGTGACACAACTGACTTGGGAACACCACCATCCCAGCTAACTTCAGCCTTCTAAACTTCAACTGCTGATGGTGCAACAGCGACGGTTGTCTTGGTGGTGTTTGAGTCCGCTTTCGCGCTCATCTTCATTGGCTTCCTAGACGTTGCAGGCGATGAGCCTTTCGCCAGCCTGCCTTGCCTGGCTGCCTCGGCATTTCCAGATTCTCCCCCTGTATACAAATGTAGCAGCCAGGATGAGGAACGGAGAACTCATAGGGGAGAGGGAGGAAGGGAGGGAGAGGGGGGATGAACCTTTATTAGGAAGAGACAGCCTCTTCTTCATGGGTTTATCAGGTTGAGCGGCTCTCTCTTTCGGGTTGCTGTGAGATCTCTGGGCGATGCCACCGGGTCGAGAGCTGGCTTCTTCGGTTATTAGCCCGGCAACTTGCTTTGGCTTAGGCTTCGGCTTAGTGAAATGTGAGTTGGATGGAGCTTCGAGTAAGCCTGCCGGTTTGCTTGTAGGTGGAGAGCTGCTGCCATTGGAATGAGAAGGGCCAGTTTTCTGAGTTGAAATGATTGCCTGTGCAGCTGGCTTCTTGCCTGTAGGTTTCGGCTGAGGTTTGGATCCATATTTGTCGTCCTCTTCGTTCTCGTGGATCATCACTCCGTCCTTGAGATTAATGTCGAGAAACCGATTCTCCCATGGACGGACAGCCATCCATCTCTCCAGCCAGTTCCAACCCCAACTGCTCTTGTCTGGAACAAACCCGGAGGGGATAGCCTGCTGTCTGGAACCCGCCTGCCACTGTGAAAATACAGATTCAGCTCAAGAGATCAGCCAAATGTAGTACCCAGCTTCTAATAGACATGGCAGCTTAAATATATGTTCTGAATGTTTGAATCGGGAACTACAAGTCAGAGTGGTAATAGATTAAGTCTAAAGAGCAATTTGTGTTGAGAAAAGCTCCAACGTGGTACTACAATTTGTAAATCTGGTGGTTGTTACTGAATCAGTTTGAAGAGTTGAAACTTCGAACTGATTCGAACAAATCACCCTTTTCTTATATCTTGTTCATTCAATGTTGACTAGAAAGTAATTGGGTGTTCGCAACTGTGCTCTCAATATGATACTCTGAGAGGGTTCAGTCTATTAGAGCAATCCGAGAATTATGAGCTACCCTTGCTTCAAGTATTTATGTTCAATCGTGAGCAACATTTCTCTAGGACAAACTAGCTTATAAGTTATACCCTAAAGAATAACCTGAACCTTTCTAAATACGAGTAAAACCAGAAAGAAATAGTAAAAAAATATTGCCGTACTCTGGATAATCATATCCTTATTCAATCTGTCTTTTTGAGATTTCTGGGAGAAAAGACAAATTACCCTGTTGTCTTAACCAGGCAGACCGGAAAACATGTCGACAATGATATGTGTTGAAATGAAATGGGTCAACTTGCAAATCAAAACTAGGCCGCAGACCACTCTTCTTCTACAGAGAGCATCCAATCCTTAACAGATGACTAGGCAGATTCCCCATTTATCTCTCTCTTACAATTCAATTCAAAGGAAAGCATAAAATATATCATTGGAAAATGCAAAATTCAGTGATGTCCAGACGAGTATTAGTTTCATGGCATAAATAGAAATCAACATAATACTAATGTTCTCTACCTGGTGAGAAATAGCATATGCAATAGCTCTCTCACGCTTAGCTGCAGCCTCTTGTCTCTTCAGTAGCTTTGCTTGAATTTGTTCAACAGAACCTATACTGTCACACCACCCATCCTGTGTAAAACCAAAATCATATGAAGTACTTACAAGAAAGAGAAATCTAGAGTCATCGGCATGATGTCTACCAAGAATGAGCAACAATACGTAAGTAGAAGTTATCAGCACTTCATGAACTGATATGAACTACAAAAAACAAATAAAAGATCATATGATGTTGCCATTGATATTCAAAGCTACAATCAAGCCTTCCCAGCATCCTGAGCAATATGATAGTCATTGTCAGCATCTCAACTAACAGTTAGAACAAACAAATTATTGGCATAGGAGAGAGACAGAGAGAGAGACTGGAAGCAGCGAAGTACAACACGACCTCTCTCTATTCATAATCATGTTTCTCCATAACTTATTTATGTCACTGTTTGATGGCACCTTCCAAGTTCTCAGGTTCCCATTGATATTATCCACTTGCGAAGAGAAAGGATGGAAATGAAATAGGATATACAATCAAATACAACATGTAAATTAGAACCAGGACAGCTTACTGCACGAGTGTATGAAATAGTAGTTATAACCAAGCAAACTGCAGATAGACAGTCACAAGTTTAATTAAAGACATAGCTTACTTCTATTTCTCGAACTCGTGCCTCATCTGCTATTTGTTGCTGAAGTTTTTGTTGAGATGTTTGATTCTCTAATGCCAAACGAACACGCCTTGCCCTTACACGAGCCTGAACCCTTACCAAAGCTTGCATGCAGCGAAGAGTTATGGCAGCTTGCTTTCTTACAGCATGGCCTCTAACAAGGGCTTGTAGTCTCACTAGCCCTTTTAAAGCACGCAGTGCTCTTCTAGCCTGCATGTATGACAATACCATAAGTAAAAACTCATCCATTTAACGTCAGAGAGAAAAGTAGATCCGAATAGTAGGTACAGGGTCCCTTGTCATGATACCAAGCATGAAGCATCGACTCCATTCACAGTGCTATAGTCTCTAGTCTGCAACTTATGATTGCCACGGCCCATTCTTATCACCAATTAAAAACAATCACAAACAAGATGAGCTTCAAAATGAGACTCCCAATGTCTGACCTTAAGTTCCAATATCCAAAGCCTAAAGTGTCATAAACTCGAAATTCATACAACAGTAGTGGCGTGTGGTCAAACTCGAAATTCAACTCCATTCACAGTGCTATAGTCGCATGTCTGCAACTTATGATTGCCACGACCCCTTCTTATCACCGATTAAAAACAATCACTAACAAGATGAGCTTCAAAATGAGACTCCAATGTCTGGCCTTAAGTTCTAATATCCAAAGCCTAAAGTGTCACAAACTCGAAATTCATACAACAGTAGTGGCGTGTGGTAAAAATTTAAGAGAGACCATCTTAAAGCTTCACTAAACCTATTCATGGAGTATCCATGTTGATGTTACACTAGTTATTACAAACATCTCCTGCTCGTCACCGCATGCCAATTCTGTTTTTGACAAAATGGTCTTACTGAAGTGCAATGAAAAGGAAATGTTTCATGTAGTCATGTTAACAGTTCCTATGATTACTCAAGTATAACCCTTGTTATAAGAACCGAACCGGATCAACGGCCGGACCAGTATAACCGTCAAACCAGTTACGATAGCGGTTCGGTTCATTGTTTGAACGGTTATTGATGGACCAAATGGTTTTTCACGGTTCAACATAAAATCAGATGAACCGACATGGTTTAACTGGTCCATTGGTTCACTATTTTAACGAAAAAAAATATTTTAACATAAACTAAGACCATCAAATCATAATTATTTATTTTATATATGCTTCCTCAACCTTATTGTCGATTTTACATTGCCTACTACCAACTAGAACCGTAATTTTTAATTTGAATTAAAAAATATGGTTTCTTTTGTGAGATGGTTGGAATGATTTATTAGATATTTTCGTGATGATATGAATTTGAACTTGTTTATGGTCAATGATAATTTCATTCTTAAATTAGTGTAATATACAAGCCTTATATGTTATATATCATTAACGGTTCTACCAACGGTTCACCAATGGTTTTGTAACGGTTAACCAGTGAACCCTTAAACCACTAACTTTTCCGGTTCAGCCTCCGATCCGGTTCTGAAAACAGAGAGTATAACAACATTTATCCTGGGTGACTGAGCAAAACCGTATTAAAAATTCAAATACTCCAGCCAGATAGAGAGAATATATGTCCACAGGACAAAAACACCAGCCTTTGTGCTCTTTCTTCCATAAAATGCTACATACTCCAACTTTGTCAATTTTTTCTTTTTCTTTTTGGATTTCCTCTTGATAATAATTGCATTCTATTGTTGATCAGCCTTCAAAGTTTAAGATCTTAAAGAGCCATTAAGAATGGTAGGTTGAAAATTTACTAACCAGTATGAGCTTAAAATACCATTCAATTGTTGCACAAGACAACTTCGTTGAGATGTTCATGAACAATGTGATGAAACAAAACTAGCGGAACGAGCAGATTGTTCATAAATTTGTCTTATAAATACGCAAGTAAATACCAGAAATCCTCGGAAAGCTGTTTGAATGCGAGTGGCAGCCCATTCGTCATGTAATCTCTGTTGATTATGGTTCACATCCTGTAGCTGACTTGAGGTAGCAGGAGATCCTGAAGCTTCTGGAACAGAGTCACCAATCACTGCTGCAACATTGTGATTTAGCTCCTGTTGAAATAGGTCCGCACCAATCTCCACTGAATTCTTTCTTCTATGGCGAGACTTGCTAGAAAGTGTTCTCTGATAGAACAAACAACAATAGATGGATTTACAAGCTTGACGAGATACTATTCGAAAAGAAGTCTGCCTTCAGTTTGTGAATCTAAAGTGGAACACGTAGCCTAATCTCCAAAAGATACCCAAAGAAAATGTGCAGATGGAATCTGACCTAATTTCATGGTAAAAGCCAAACAGTTTGTCAAGTAAATTAGATGTAGAAGCAAATTAATTCTTTGGAAATTGCTTGAAAATTTCTATGTTGGGCAAAACTAGTTCTGAAGTGAAAAGATGTGAATACATCCCCACAAAAAGAAACAAATCCAAGCTACAAATCCAAACAATGACAAGCAAGAGAATAAGAACCCTAGTTGTCACTTGCCAGAGTCCATTTAACAATACTCTAGAAACATCTCTTCTGCCGTTCCGGTTTATCCAAACAATGACAAGCAAGAGAATAAGAACAATAGTTGTCACTTGCCAGAGTCCACTTAACAATACTCTAGAAACAACTCTTCTTTCGTTCCGGTTTATTCACTTCCCTGAAACTTGGGTCTGTGTAAATCACTCTAAAGACACATGCAAGCAACAATAAATTCATTGCTCGTAACTTTACTTAAAAATGTATCATTTTAAGTACAACTTACATTTTCCACTTTCTCTGAGGACTGTGGCTTATCTGACTTCTTCATTCCAACCAATGCTTTAAGCCATTTTCCAGAGACCCCCATGGTGCCACTGAGCTGAACAGCACTAACCTGCCACAGAAAAGGCAATTAACATATCAGAATGCATGCTGTAACTCAAAGCCTTTTCGATTCATGATTGGACCAACTATTACGCTGACAAACGTACAGAGAGGGATAAGAATTCATAAGAAACCATCTCTACATTCACGATCAGGTGCATATCTAAGTCAACACCCTTAGCATACAAATAGAATCATCCAGGTGACCCACTAAGACGTCCATAGAAGAAGGATAAATGAAACACAACAATTCCGGGTCTGATCTAAGAAATTGTTGCAGAATTCTAATCAACATATGGCAAACCAGCCTCCCAGATAATAAAAATTATAAATATCAGAATAAGTATGAAGTCTCCATCGGTAATCAAGTAATAACTTACCAAAAATCCACAGTTTCCACAAACTCGAACTTCTTATAAAGAAACCAATTAGAAAAACGACTGAAGCAAAGGTTAGATTGGGTAGCTTACCAGTTAAAAAAACAACGTGAGCAAGCAACCTTTTGCCGAGTGCGACTGTACTGACTCCGACGCGGCCAAAGCGATGGAGCCGATGATTATCCTAGGAATCGAAGCAGAAATGGCGAAACAAGCAAGCAATGATAAGCATTTAATACCGAAGCAGGAGGAAGATGTTAAAAGCCAACGCAAACCCTAGAGAGAGCATAATGATTATACCATAACTAGGTTCCCATGGAGATAGATACCAGCGAGAAAAGTCCAAATTTCAGCAATTAAAAAAATGAACCCAAAAAAAAAACACTAACTACTAACTAGCAGTCAAACAGGCAATTCACCAAATGTTACCAAGCGGGGACGTGAAAACGAAGCAATCAAACAGCCAATGCATCAATTTACCGCTAGAATTCCACAGCCAATTCACAGATCCACCTCGAACTCGCACCGAGAGACAAACACCGCTCCCGCGCCGAGCGAGTAAAAAGCCAGAAGAAGAAGAAGAAGAAGAAGAAGAAGAAGAAGAAGAGGAATAACGATTGCCTCCGGTGAAACAACTCTAAGACTTCACTCGCTCAACTCGAACTGAAGCTCCGGCAATCGGAAACAGTAGACAAAATCAACAGCGAGCAATCGGAATTCGGAAGTTGAAACGACGGAGCAGTCAGCACAGCAGCCAACCCTCCCTCTCTGTATCTCTATCTCTATCTATCCCTACTTCGCCTGCTCGTCCTCCATCTTTCTCTTTCTCTCCCCTGGAATTTGTTTTCTGTTGTTTTATGTGTAAAAGAGCCGGCAGCACTGGCCGCGAGAAGTTGAGAAAGAGAGGTTACAAAAAGGAGAGACTGTGAAGTGGAGGGACCGGTGTCGGCTAAAGTACGCCGTGGGGAGGAAGGGGAAAAGGATTGTCGCGAAACGACGTCGTGCGGTGGGGGCGTTTCACACTGGGCCGTTGTCGCTAGGGGTGGAAATCGGTACGGTATCGGTATCCCAATACCAAATACCGAAATACCGAATATCGAATTACACCCTAAAATTAATCCCAATCCCAATCTTTAAATAATTTCAGTATCCCAAACCCTAAATAATTTCGGTATCCCAATCGGTGCATCGGTATCCCAATCGGTATTATCGAATACATAATTAATTACCTTTGTAATTAATAATTAAATATATAAATTTGATTTTATTGTTTAATTTAGGGCATAGAGACTAAGCAAATAGTCTTGAGTTGCCTAGAGCTAACATCTCAAGTTCTTGTAATTGGTAATTTTAATTTTACGAATTTGAGGTTGAGAAACGACTAATATTAATGTGAAATAGTGATGTAATGATCTATTTATAATTAAATGGCACTTTTGGTGGTTGAGGGTCGCGTAGTAGTGAATGAGAGAGTCTAGTTGAGAGGATAAAATACACACTAGCTTATATTTCGGTATATACCGATCCCAATCCCGTAATTCCTAATACCGAATAACAATTGAAATTCAATCCCAATCCCACAAAATAATACGTGTATTCGGTAATACCAAATATAAGCAAATTCGGTACGGTATTCGGTATATCTCAAATACCTGTACCAAACTTCCAGCCCTAGTTGTCGCGGCGTGGGAGGGAGATAATCACGGAGGTGGTGGGGTTTTTTTTTAAAGACGTGAAGAGACATTTTCGGGGCCGTATGATTAACTCTGTCAGTCTGTCCCTTTAACATGTGTAACGGAATCGGAGGGGGCAGTGGCAAGTCGCTGTTATGTGCGTACGTTAGCGGGTGTGGCGTCGGTTAAAGACGAAATAAAGTTGGAGGGAAAATAAAACAATTGACCTTTACCTTTTTTTTTCTTCTTTTCCTTCCTTTTTTTGGTTTCTTTAGTTTAATTTTCGCTTTCTCTTGTTTTGTTTTTTTGGGAGGAAATGTGATAATGGTGATTAATTTAAAAGTAAAACCAAATAAAGGGAAACGTTAAAAGATGTGGATGATTATTCAGAGCCGAATATGGAAAAACGGTACTTGTTGTGATTGTTAGGTGGAACTTGAGGGTTGTACATGAGCCAATTATTTGGTGGGAGTTGAGAGATCTTGTCACGTAATTAGATCAATGTCAGTTATTGGATTGATTTAATATAATTTGAGCAATCAATTCATTTTTTATTGAATTAGTAGATTTATAGATATTTTAAATTTACACATATTCTTTAGACGGCAAACCCCGTGCTATGGGGTAAGTCATGAACGATTTGCATTGTTTTCCCAAGTCAAAAATCTGTATCATGTAGAGGTGGCAATTAGGATCCAAATCCATGAATCGAATCCAATCCAATCCATCCACCAAATTATCCACCTAATTCAATCCATTTAAATCCAATCCATTTGATCCAAATCCAATTGGATTGGTGGATTCATGGATCAATCATCAATCCATGGATCCAAATGGCAAATTACGATTTGGTACCTATATTTTTTATATTTTACATTTTGGTACCTAAAATTTATATTTTTATACGAAAAATATCATTGGAAAATTACATTTTGGTACCAAAAAATTTTCATTATGACATTTTAACACCAAAACTTTTCAATTTTTACATTTTGGTCCAAGCCTTGGATGTCATTTGGATTTATGGATCAATCCACCAATCCATTTGATCCAATCCATGAATCCATCAATCCATTGGATCTAATCCATTTGATCCATGGATCCACGAATTCAATCCACGAATCCATAAATCCGATCCAATTGTCACCTCTACTATCATGTAATGAGTTGTCCTATTGTTTAAAAAAATTTATAATGAGTTGTAAGTGTACGATAAGCAAAACTACCACTACTTCAAGGAATAGGAAACTTCTCCAAAGAAGTTTAAACCAATCAATCGTGACATAATTCTAGATTTTATTAATAGTATAAGTGTCGTTTTGAGTTCATCTCCTAACAAATTAATCCCATGTATTGCTAATATGATACACAAGGTATCCATCTCATTAGGAAATTAATCCCATATATTGTTAATACGATACACAAGAGTTATATATACCTTGTGCATTCCTCTCCAGATGTATGGTCTCTATACATGTTTTCAAGTTCTTTTGGATGTCTTCCGTTTTGTTATCTTGACAGATTTTGTTAGTTGTTGCCAATTTTATACTTAATATGATGTCTTAGTGTGTCTCAAGTCATCGGAAACTAACTAGATGATATTTGGACGATAAATGCACTCAGCATTGAAAATTTGGAATTAGTGATATTTAACAATGCAAACACTTTTGGAATCAAAATGCCAAGCTCAACATGACATAATACATGCTTGTGTTGGAGGTCGTGCTTGAATCAAAATATTGGTTATGTTCAACTCAAGGTGACTATTCATTGTTTACGAGGCATTAAAATATATTTACTCGTTGTTTTTGTATGTTTATGATGTTATACTTGCTGAGAACTTTCCTTCTGAAATTACTTTTGGTAAGGAACCCTTGGATGAGACTTTTATAAGCAAATACATTAGCAATTCAGTTATTTCTATTTGTAAATCCATATGTGTTATACCGCTGTTAAATGATGTTGGTTTACTTGGTGCAAAACCATAGACCACTTCATGTAATCATGGGGTTCATTTATATACGAATGATGGTGTTCCTTCGTATGATATTGTTGTTCATACTTTATAGAGGATTGGTAGGAAGATTATTATGTTAGTGTCATACAATATCTAATATTGTCTTTGTGGTTCATCAACCAACCAGTTAATGAGTAATATTTTTTACATTCCTTTGTAAGTTGTGAACCCATTCTACTGTGTTTTAATCAGAGGGTGAGGCTTGGTTTATTTTTGCTCTGGTCTTCCTCATTAGTAACTCAATCATTTTACGGATAGTGACTGGGCATACTTTTTTCATATCAACGTCAGTCTACTATGGGCTATTGTGTTCTTAGCCTCTTGTTAGATTCACATATATCCCCTGACAGTCACAATCATATTGTTGATTTGTTTACCAAATCTTTGCTATCTCTAGTTAGTCTTTGCATTTAGATTATTGGAAGCAGAAATCACGTACTAATTGGTTAAAAGTAGGGGATATGAACACAACCTACTTTCATTTGGTTACCTCTTCCCGCCATGAAAATAACATAATCTGGGGACTTGAGGATGAAAGAGGAAACTGGTATACTTCAGAAGTAGAAAAATGTGGCATTGCCAAAAAGTTATACCAAGAGCTCTTCCAAAGTCAAAACATGGGTGGAATTAGTCTCTCAAACCTCGTATTTACAAACACCCTTACAGAAGAACAAAACCTTGGGCGAATAGCGTCGATCACCGCAGAGAAAATTAAAAAAGCGTTCTTTAGTCTGGGTAAGACCCAAGCTCCAGGTCCGAATGGATTCACCGTCGGCTTCTTCCAACACTATTGGTCCTTGGTTGGTCAAGATGTTACCCAGGCAGTTCTAACATTCTTTCACTCTGAATATTGTTGAGAAGTTTTAATCGGACTTGGATTTTCATAGTTCCAAAAGTATCGGAGGTTCGTACTATGAAGAATCTCATACCTATTAGTCTTTGCCAGGTTGTTTATAAGATTATCTCCAAGATCCTGGCCAATAGACTTAGTAAAGTTTTACCCTCAGTCATTTCTCCAACTCAAAATGGTTTCATCAAGGATCGCCAGATCACAGATAATATCATGATCAGTCATGAGATCACTCATCATATCAAAACTCTATACTCAGAATCGAAATCTTTGATGGCCTTAAAACATGATATGGAGAAAGCTTATGATTGTATAGAGTGACCTTTTCTATTCAAAATGATGAAGGAATTATGATTCAATAGCCAATTCATGACATGGATCAAAGAATGTGTCACTACTGTTTCCTATTCCATTCTCATTAATGGTCCCCCTTCAGAATATTTTAAACCTTCTAGAGGTTTATGACAAGGGGATCCACTCTCATCTCTGCTGTTTGCTATATGCACGGAAGGATTTTCATATATGATAAATCAGGCAGTAACCATGGTTTCTTGGAAGGTGTTCGGACACGTCAGAACTGTCTTGTGATTTCTCATTTTTTCTTTGTTGACGACTCCTACTTTTTTCTGCAAGCGTCTCAGGCCTCTTGTACGACCCTCTTGTCCTTACTTCAGGTTTATGAAGGACTAAGTGGCCAGAAAGTCAATCTCTCCAAATCGACAGTTCTATTTAGTAAAAATACTAAGAGTGAAGACGCAAACTTCATGGGAGCCCAGTTGGGAGTGGGGCTATAGGAGATAAAGATTCTTATCTAGGCCTACCCTCCTTAATACCAAGAACAAAAAATGATACTTTTCTTTATATTGAGGAAAAGATGTGCAAGAAATTGCAAGGTTGGAAACAACGTACCCTTTCCAAGGCGGCTAAAGACACTCTAATCAGGACTTCAACAACTAATATACCGGTCCATGGTATGACTTGTTTTAAGTTCCCAGTTGATGCTTTTCGATGATTAAATGGGCTTATTGCAAGGTTTTGGTGGGGATCCGCTCATAATTTTGATTATCCAATTCATTGGATATTACGGAAAGGTCTCTCCCAAAGTAAGTTTCACGGAGGCCTTGGTTTCAGGGATTTCAGGGCTTTCAATCAAGCTCTGTTAGCTAAGCTTTGCTGGCGCATATGGTCAAATCCTGACTCACTCCTTAGTCGAGTGTATAACGGAAGGTATTTCAACCAAAGTACGATATTGAAAGCCTCCATTGGCTCTAAACCATCTTGGGGGTGGAGAAGTATCATTTTTGGATGGGATC